CTGATTTCGAGGGGTGGTGGAGTAGTTGGCTAGCTAGTGCGTAGGTCTCATAGCTTCGATTTATTCTGAGGTCAAGATTTCGAGCCTCTCATACCTCACCATAATTTTTTTTATTCAAACAAGATAAAACATGTCCTGTAACACCTAGCAAAAGATCATTTTGTGTCGGTTTCGGCTCGGAATCAAAACCTTGTTATTGAGGGGTGTAGGCGCAGTTGGCTAGCGCGTAGGTCTCATAGCTTCGAGTTATCCTGAGGTCGAGAGTTCGAGCCTCTCTCCTCACCCCAACATATTTTTTTTTTATTCAAAGAGGATAAAACATGTTCGGTAAAACCTAGCAAAAGATCGTTTTAGCCTCGGAATCAAAACCTTGATTTCGAGGGGTGGTGGCGTAGTTGGCTAGCTAATGCGTAGGTCTCATAGCTTCGATTTATTCTGAGGTCAATATTTCGAGCCTCTCATACCTCACCATAATTATTTTTATTCAAACAAGATAAAACATGTCCTGTAACACCTAGCAAAAGATCATTTTCCACCATAATTATTTTTATTCAAACAAGATAAAACATGTCCTGTAACACCTAGCAAAAGATCATTTTCTGTCGGTTTGGGCTTGGAATCAAAACGTTGTTATTGAGGGGTGGTGGCGCAGTTGGCTAGTGTGTAGGTCTCATAGCTTTGAGTTATCCCGAGTTTGAGCCTCTCTCACCCCCACCATATTCTTTTTTAATCAAACGAGATACAACATGTCCTGTAACACCTAGCAAAAGATCATTTTGTGTCGGTTTGAACTCGGAATCAAAACCTTGTTATTGAGGGGTGGTGGCGCAGTTGGCTAGCGCGTAGGTCTCATAGCTTCGAGTTATCCTGAGGTCGAGAGTTCGAGCCTCTCTCACCCCAACATATTTTTTTTATTCAAAGAGGATAAAACATGTTCGGTAAAACCTAGCAAAAGATCGTTTTAGCCTCGGAATCAAAACCTTGATTTCGAGGGGTGGTGGCGTAGTTGGCTAGCTAATGCGTAGGTCTCATAGCTTCGATTTATTCTGAGGTCAATATTTCGAGCCTCTCATACCTCACCATAATTATTTTTATTCAAACAAGATAAAACATGTCCTGTAACACCTAGCAAAAGATCATTTTCTGTCGGTTTGGGCTTGGAATCAAAACGTTGTTATTGAGGGGTGGTGGCGCAGTTGGCTAGCGCGTAGGTCTCATAGCTTCGAGTTATGCCGAGTTCGAGCCTCCCTCACCCCCACCATATTCTATTTTATTCAAACGAGATACAACATGTCCTGTAACACCTAGCAAAAGATCATTTTGTGTCGGTTTGGGCTCGGAATCAAAACCTTGTTATTGAGGGGTGGTGGCGCAGTTGGCTAGCGCGTAGGTCTCATAGCTTCGAGTTATCCTGAGGTCGAGAGTTCGAGCCTCTCTCACCCCAACATATTTTTTTTATTCAAAGAGGATAAAACATGTCCGGTAAAACCTAGCAAAAGAACATTTTGGCCTCGGAATCAAAACCTGGTGGCGTAGTTGGCTAGCTAGTGCGTAGGTCTCATAGCTTCGATTTATTCTGAGGTCAAGATTTCGAGCCTCTCATACCTCACCATAATTTTTTTATTCAAACAAGATAAAACATGTCCTGTAAAACCTAGCAAAAGATCATTTTGTGTCGGTTTGGGCTCGGATTCAAAAGCTTGTTATCGAGGGGTGGTGGCCCAGTTGACTAGCGCGTAGGTCTCATAGCTTCGAGTTATGCTGATGTCGAGAGTTCGAGCCACTCACACTTGAACAGTAAAACCTTGCAAAAGATCATTTTGGCCTCGAAATCAAAACCTTGATTTCGAGGGGTGGTGGTATAGTTGGCTAGCCAGTGCGTAGGTCTCATAGCTTCGATTTATCCTGAGGTCAAGATTTCGAGTCTCTCATACCTCACCATATTTTTTTTATTCAAAGAAGATAAAACATGTCCTGTAAAACCTAGCAAAAGATCATTTTGTGCCGGTTTGGGCTCGGAATCAAAACCCTGTTCTTGAGGGGTGGTGGCGCAGTTGGCTAGCACGTAGATCTCATAGCTTCGAATTATCTTGAGTTAGAGCCTCTCTCACCCCCACCATATTTTTTTTATTCAAAAAAGATAAAACATGTCCTGTAAAACCTAGCAAAAGATCATTTTGTGTCGGTTTGGCCTCGTAATCTAAACCCTATTATCGTGGGGTGGTGATGTAGTTAGCTAGCGCGTAGGTCTCATGGCTTTGGGTTATCCTGAGATCGAGAGTTCGAGCCTCTTTCACCCCAGCATATTTTTTGTTTTATTCAAAGAGGATAAAACATGTCCGGTAAAACCTAGCAAAAGATCATTTTGGCCTCGGAATCAAAACCATGATTTCGAGGGGTGGTGGCGTAGTTGGCTAGCTAGTGCGTAGGTCTCATAGCTTCAATTTATTCTGAGGTCAAGATTTCGAGCCTCTCATACCTCACCATAATTTTTTTATTCAAACAAGATAAAACATGTCCTGTAACACCTAGCAAAAGATCATTTTGTGTCGGTTTGGGCTCGGAATCAAAACCTTGTTATTGAGGGGTGGTGGCGCAGTTGGCTAGCGCGTAGGTCTCATAGCTTCGAGTTATCCTGAGGTCGAGAGTTTTTCTCTCTCACCCCAACATATTTTTTTTTATTCAAAGAGGATAAAACATGTTCGGTAAAACCTAGCAAAAGATCATTTTAGCCTCGGAATCAAAACCTTGATTTCGAGGGGTGGTGGCGTAGTTGGCTAGCTAGTGCGTAGGTCTCATAGCTTCGATTTATTCTGAGGTCAAGATTTCGAGCCTCTCATACCTCACCATAATTTTTTTATTCAAACAAGATAAAACATGTCCTGTAACACCTAGCAAAAGATCATTTTGTGTCGGTTTGGGCTCGGAATCAAAACCTTGTTATTGAGGGGTGGTGGCGCAGTTGGCTAGCGCGTAGGTCTCATAGCTTCGAGTTATCCTGAGGTCGAGAGTTCGAGCCTCTCTCACCCCAACATATTTTTTTTTATTCAAAGAGGATAAAACATGTTCGGTAAAACCTAGCAAAAGATCATTTTAGCCTCGGAATCAAAACCTTGATTTCGAGGGGTGGTGGCGTAGTTGGCTAGCTAGTGCGTAGGTCTCATAGCTTTGATTTATCCTGAGGTCAAGATTTCGAGCCTCTCATACCTCACCATATTTTTTTTTTATTCAAACAAGATAAAACATGTCCTGCAAAACCTAGCAAAAGATCATTTTGTGTCGGTTTGGGCTCGAAATCTAAAGATTGTTATCGAGAGGTGGTGGCGTAGTTGGCTAGCGCGTAGGTCTCATAGCTTCGAGTTATACTGATGTCGAGAGTTCGAGCCTCTCTCACCCCCGGTAAATCCTAGCAAAAGATCATTTTGGCCTCTCTCACCCCAATATATTTTTTTTTTATTCAAAGAGGATAAAACATGTCTGGTGAAACCTAGCAAAAGATCATTTTAGCCTCGAAATCAAGGGTGGCGTAGTTGGCTAGCTAGTGCGTGGGTCTCATAGCTTCGATTTATCCTGAGGTCAAGATTTCGAGCCTCTCATACCTCACCATATTTTTTTTTTTTATTCAAACAAGATAAAACATGTCCTGGAAAACCTAGCAAAAGATCATTTTGTGTCGTTTTGGGCTCGGAATCAAAAGATTGTTATCGAGGGGTGGTGGCGCAGTTGGCTAGCGCATAGGTCTCATAGCTTTGAGTTATCCTGAGGTCGAGAGTTTGAGCCTCTCTCACCCTAGCATATTTTTTTTTATTCAAAGAGGATAAAACATGTCCGGTAAAACCTAGCAAAAGATCATTTTGGCCTCGGAATCAAAACCTTGATTTCGAGGGGTGGTGGCGTAGTTGGCTAGATAGTGCGTAGATCTCATAGATTCGAGTTATCCTGAAGTCGAGATTTCGAGCCTCTCATACCTCACCATATTTTCTTTTTTATTCAAACAAGATAAAACATGTCCTGTGAAACCTAGCAAAAGATCATTTTGTTTCGGTTTGGGCTCGGAATCAAAACATCCTTATCGAGGGGTTGGCGCAGTTGGCTAGCGCGTAGGTCTCATAGCTTCGAGTTATCTTGAGTTCGAGCCTCTCTCACCCCCACCATATTTTTTATTATTCAAAAGAGATAAAACATGTACTATAAAACCTAGCAAAATTTAATTTTGTGTTGGTTTGGCCTCGGAATCAAAACCTTGTTATCGAGGGGTGGTGGCGCAGTTGGCTAGCGCGTAGGTGTCTTTTCTTCTGAGTTATCCTGAGTTTGAGCCTCTCTCACCCCACCATATTTTTTTTATTCAAACGAGATAAAACATATCCTATAAAACCTAGCAAAAGATAATTTTGTGTCAGTTTGGCCTCGAAATCAAAACCTTGTTATCGAGTGGTGGTGGCGCAGTTGGCTAGCACGTAGCTCTCATAGCTTTGAGTTATCCTAAGGTTGAGAGTTCGAGCCTCATTCACCCCAACATATACTCTCAAGCCTCTCTCACCCCATCATATTTTTTTTTTATTCAAAGAGGATAAAACATGTCCTGTAAAACCTAGAAAAAGATCATTTTGTGTCGGTTTGGGCTCGAAATCAAAACCTTGTTATCGAGGGGTGGTAACGCAGTTGGCTAGCGCGTAGGTCTCATAGCTTCGAATTATCATGAGTTCGAGCCTCTGTCACCCCACCATATTTTTTTTATTCAAAAGAGATAAAACATGTACTATAAAACCTAGCAAAATTTAATTTTGTGTCGGTTTGCCTCGGAATCAAAACCTTGTTATCGAGGGGTGGTGGCGTAGTTGGCTAGCGCGTAAGTGTCTTAGCTTTGAGTTATCCTGAGTTCGAGCCTTTCTAACCCCTCCATATTTTTTTTTATTCAAACGAGATAAAACATGTCCTGTAAAACCTAGTAAAAGATCATTTTGTGTCGGTTTGGCCTCAGAATAAAAAACCTTGTTATTAAGGGATGGTGGTGTAGTGGCTAGTGCATAGATCTCATGGCTTTTAGTTATCCTGAGGTTGAGGGTTTGAGTCTCTCTCACCTCCACCATATTATTTTTATTTAAATGATATAAAACATGTACTATAAAACCTAGCAAAATTTCATTTTGTGTCGGTTTGGCCTCGGAATCAAAATCTTGTTATCGAGGGTTGGTAGCGTAGTTGGCTAGCGCGTAGGTCTCACAGTTTCGAGTTATCCTGAGTTCGGGCCTCTCTCACCCCACCATATTTTTTTTATTCAAACGAGATAAAACATGTCCTGTAAAACCTAGAAAAAGATCATTTTGTGTTCGTTTGTCCTCGAAATCAAAACCTTGCTATCGAGGGGTGGTGGTGCAGTTGGCTAGCGCGTAGGTCTCATAGCTTTAAGTTATTCTGAGGTTGAGAGTTTGAGCCTCTCTTACCCCAACATATTATTTTTTATTCAAACAAGATAAAAAATTTCCTGCAAAACCTAGAAATAGATCATTTTGTTTCGGTTTGGCCTTTGAATCAAAACCTTGTTATCGAGGGGTGGTGGTGTAGTTGGTTAGCGCGTAGGTCTCATAGCTTCGAGTTATCCTTGAGAGTTCGAGCCTCTCTCCCCCCACCATGTATCTTTTTTTTTTTAACGAGATAAAACATGTCCTGTAAAATCTAACAAAATATCATTTTATGTTTGTGTTTGGCTTCGAAATCAAAACCTTGTTATCGAGTGGTTGTGGCGTAGTTGGCTAGCGTGCAGGTTGTCACGGTCATGCTCGTCCAGGGTGTGTTGCCCATGGCCGCATGCCTATGGCAAGCCAAACCCTTGTCATGTCTTTTCATTCTAGTGTTTTTACTTTTGTAGTTCTAGGGCGTATGACGCCTCAAAAATATCATGTCTAGGCCTGCCAGACATGAAATGTCTCAGAATGTACTATAGGGGGATATGACTAGTTGTCAACTTCTCCCTACCCAAGGTTATATATGTTAAGCCGTTGTTATCTCTCTCTTGCTTGCTTATATAACGTCTCTTTCAAAAATCTCTCTTTCTAAAATCTCTCTCTACCCTCGTTTTCCAAAACATTCTTTTAAAACCGAGGCTAGAGGCTTGATCATACGTCGCTTGGCCGTAGGCGACGCAAGTACAAATTGGCTTAGCTCACTTGTCGTTGAAAGGGAGTGTCGCACAATCGCTAGTCCGCTGCCTTCAAAAGTGCGATTGTGTCAAGTGGTATCAGAGCTTTGTTAGCTCCGTGACACAGTAAAGACCGAAACCATGTCGGCGACAAAGTCGACACCCAAAGCACAAGCCGACCGGCTTACGCTAATAGAGGAGGAAATGCTGTTCCTCAAAGAAGTCCCTGACACCCTCCGCTTCCTAGAAGCACGGGTGACCGAATTGAGTGAGAAAGTCGTAGGAATCGACGCAATGGGCAACCGCCTGGATGGGTTGCCAATCGCAGAATTGATGTTTCGAGTGACCTCGCTCGAAGAAAGAGTTGCTCCTACGAGCAGCCCAAAACCGTCTGGTAGTCCGGATAGCTCTGTCGCGCACAAGGAGGGACGTGGCGAAGAGTTCGACGTGCTACAAAATACAATGATGAGCTTGTTCAATGGATTAGCTGATGAGTTCAAAACAACAATCGACGACATCCAAGAAAGAATGGCCTCCATGGGCACTCGAATTGAAGTGACCATGAAAGCCGTGGAGAACGTCACGGCTGGACAAACTAATACAGGATCCAACAAACTAAGATTCCCAGATCCTAGAGCCTTTAAAGGGAATCGGGATGCTAAAGAGTTGGAAAACTTCATCTTTGATGTCGAACAGTACTTCAAAGCCACAACGGCTTGTACTGAAGACAAGAAGGTGACCGTAGCCTCGATGTATCTCATAGACGACGCCAAACTGTGGTGGCGTACGAAGGTGCAAGACATCGAGGATGGATTGTGCACCATTGACTCGTGAGAGGACCTTAAGAAAGAGTTGAGGGACCAGTTCCTCCCCGAAAACGCAGGACATTTAGCAATGGAAAAACTAATAGCCCTGAAACACACTGGAGGCATACGAAACTATGTCAGACAGTTCTCAACCCTGATGTTAGATATCAGGGGCACATCAGAGAAGGACAAGGTGTTCTTCTTTATAAATGGGTTACAGCCGTGGGCCAAAACAAAGCTACACGAGAACAAGGTCCAAACCCTAGCTGCCGCAATGGCCTGTGCCGAGAGACTCCTAGACTATGGGAACGAAGCGGGATCCCAAAGAAGAATAACACCATCCCCAAACACTGGGGGCAAGCCATACAAACCACCAAGTCATCAAAATGGAAGCCCCAACAGGCCGAACGGAGGTAACGACAGACCAAGCGGATGGACGGATAGACCTCCTCAGAACAACCAAGCGGGGACATCTCGAGGACCTTACCATCAAAGGAACCACACGACGACGCCTTTACAATGCATGCTGTGTAAAGGTCCCCACAAAGTATCTTACTGTCCTCATCGGGCCTCTCTCACTGCGCTCCAAGTGTCCATTCAAGAGAGCAATGACGCAAGGGTTGAGACTATGCTTGACAAGAAGAAAGATCAAGACAATCCCCGAATGGGCGCGCTTAAATTCTTGTCAGCCCTCCAACGGAAGGTCGAACCGAAGGACATAGTAGAGAAAGGGCTCATGTTCGTAGATGCAACAATAAATTCCCAACCGAATAGGAGCACTCTGATAGATTCAGGAGCGACCCACAACTTCATCGCCGATCAAGAAGCCCGAAGATTAGGACTCACTATAGGAAAGGACCCGGGAAAAATGAAAGCTGTCAACTCTGAGGCCTTGCCTATTGTGGGAGTTTCCAAAAGAGTTCCCTTTAAAATAGGGGATTGGACAGGAGAGCTAGATCTTGTCATAGCTCGCATGGACGACTTTGACGTGGTACTTGGGATGGAGTTCCTCCTAGAACACAAAGTTATCCCAATACCGCTGGCAAAATGTTTAGTGATCACCGACCGCAACCCCACAGTAATACTTGCAAGCATCAAGCAATCAGGTAATCTTCGAATGATCTCGGCCATACAATTAAAAAGGGGACTCGCACGTGAGGAACCTACATTTATGGCCATACCATTGATGGAAGTAACAACCACCGAAGAAACTGTCCCAAATAAAATCAATGAGGTACTAAACAACTATGCTGACATAATGCCAGAGAGCTTACCCCAAACATTACCACCTCGTCGAGGCACTGATCACGAAATCGAACTCATCCCCGGAGTTAAACCGCCAACGAAGAACGCATACCGGATGGCTCCGCCCGAGCTAGTCGAATTAAGGAAACAACTGGATGAGTTGCTGAAGGCGGGATTCATCCGCCCGGCAAAGGCACCTTACGAAGCCCCCGTACTGTTCCAGAAGAAGAAGGATGGGACGTTGCGTCTGTGCATAGACTATAGAGCCTTAAACAAGGTGACGGTACGCAACAAATATCCACTGTCGATAATATCCGACTTGTTCGACCAACTTCACGGGGCCAAGTACTTCGCGAAGTTGGACTTACGATCAGGGTATTACCAAGTACGTATTGCCGAAGGGGACGAGCCCAAGACGACGTGCGTAACAAGATATGGGGCCTTCGAATTCCTAGTAATTCCCTTTGGCTTGACAAACGCTCCAGCTACTTTCTGCACGTTGATGAACCAAGTTTTCTACGAATACTTGGATCAGTTTGTCATAGTATACCTCGACGACATAGTGGTTTACAGCACAACCCTAGAGGAACACAAAGTGCACTTGAAGCTGGTGTTCGACAAGCTACGACAAAACCAACTGTATGTCAAGAAAGAGAAATGTGCATTCGCACAAACATGCATCAACTTTCTTGGACATGTCGTCAAATGTGGACAGATTAGTATGAATAGCGATAAGATAAAAGCTATCCAAGAATGGAAGGTTCCTACTTTCGTATCCGATTTGCGGTCCTTCTTAGGATTAGCCAACTACTATAGGCGGTTCGTCGAAGGGTTTTCACGACGAGCCGCCCCATTGACTGAGCTGTTGAAGAAAGACCACACTTGGTCGTGGTCAAATGATTGTCAAATGGCCTTTGAAGATCTGAAAACAACCATGATGGGGGGTCCTGTCCTCGGATTGGTAGATGTTACAAAGCCATTTGAAATAGAAACAGACGCTTCCGACTTTGCCCTAGGTGGGGTCCTTATTCAGGAAGGCCACCCCATCGCTTTCGAAAGTCGAAAGCTCAATGACGCCGAACGTAGATACACTATCTTCGAAAAAGAAATGCTGGCAGTAGTCCATTGCCTTCGAGTCTGGAGACAATATCTCTTGGGATCACAGTTCGTAGTGAAGACAGATAACAGCGCCATTTGCCACTTCTTTGATCAACCAAAATTGACGGTAAAACAAGCCCGGTGGCAGGAGTCGTTGGCTGAATTCGACTTCAAGTTCGAACACAAAGCAGGGAAGAGTAATCAAGCAGCCGACGCACTGAGTCGAAAGGGCGAACATGCGGCCCTGTGCATGTTAGCCCATATTCACTCAAGTAAGATCGATGGATCGATGCGCGACATCATCAAGGAACATTTACATAAAGACCCATCGGCCAAAGCCGTCGTCGAACTAGCTAAAGCTGGGAAAACACGACAGTTTTGGGTTGAGGGAGACCTTCTGATGACAAAAGGAAACAGATTGTATGTCCCAAGAACGGGAGAACTGAGGAAGAAGCTCATTCAGGAATGTCATGATACCCTATGGGCCAGACATCCTTGGTGGCAAAAAACATACGCTCTAATAAAAAAAGGGTACTTCTGGCCAAACATGCGAGATGACATAATGCAATACACCAAGACGTGCCTCATCTGTCAACAGGACAAAGTCAAGAAAGCCAAAGTCTCAGGACTCTTGGAACCTCTACCTGTGCCGACAAGACCCTGGGAAAGTGTATCTCTGGACTTCATAACACACCTCCCAAAAGTCGGGGAATATGACGCTATCTTGGTTATCGTAGACCGATTCTCAAAATATGCGACGTTCATCCCCACTCCCAAATTATGCTCGGCCGAACTCACAGCTCAACTATTTTTCAAACACATTGTAAAGTTATGGGGTATTCCGTCGAGCATCATCAGTGATCGGTACGGCAGATTCATTGGGACATTTTGGACCGAGTTATTCGCCTTCTTGGGAACAACATTAAACATCTCCTCGAGTTACCACCCTCAAACCGATGGTCAGACAGAACGGTTCAATTGCTTGCTCGAAGAATACTCACGTCACTTCGTCGACGCTCGCCAGAAGAACTGGATAAAACTGTTAGATGTCGCCCAATTTTGCTTCAATTGTTAAACTAGCTCGTCTACGGGAAAGAGTCCCTTTGAAATTGTAAGTGGACGACAACCGGCCTTACCCCATATTATCGATCATCCTTATGCAGGGAAAAACCCTCAAGCTCACAACTTCACAAGAGAATGGAAGCAGACAACAGATATAGCCCGGGCATATTTAGAGAAGGCTTCCAAGCATATGAAAAAGTGGGCAGACAAGAAGCGTCGCCCCCTTCAATTCCGAGCAGGAGATCAAGTCCTCATCAAGCTGAAACCAGAACAGATCAGATTTCGCAACCGAAAGGACCAGAGACTAGTTCGCAAGTATGAAGGCCCGGTTGAAGTCCTTAAAAAGATCGGGACTACCTCCTACCGAGTTGCACTCCCCACATGGATGAAAATCCACCCAGTAATTCATGTGAGCAACTTGAAGCCATACCACCCTGACCCAGACGACGACCAACGAAATGCAATCACAAGACCGAGCATCGATCTGAGGCAAAAAGAAACAAAAGAAGTAGAGGAGATCCTCGCCGACAGGGTTAGGAAGATAGGACGACCTGTACGGACGATTCGTGAATTCCTTGTCAAATGGAAGAATCTCCCTACAGAGGAAACCAGCTGGGAACGCGCCGAAGACCTGAACTCCGCCGCCACCCACATCGCTAGGTTTGAAAGTAGTCGGTTGACGTGGTCGTCAACCAATTAAGTGGGGGAGGATGTCACGGTCATGCTCGTCCAGGGCGTGTTGCCCATGGCCGCATGCCTATGGCAAGCCAAACCCTTGTCATGTCTTTTCATTCTAGTGTTTTTACTTCTATAGTTCTAGGGCGTATGACGCCTCAAAAATATCATGTCTAGGCCTGCCAGACATGAAATGTCTCAGAATGTACTATAGGGGGATATGACTAGTTGTCAACTTCTCCCTACCCAAGGTTATATATGTTAAGCCGTTGTTATCTCTCTCTTGCTTGCTTATATAACGTCTCTTTCAAAAATCTCTCTTTCTAAAATCTCTCTCTACCCTCGTTTTCCAAAACCTTCTTTTAAAACCGAGGCTAGAGGCTTGATCATACGTCGCTTGGCCGTAGGCGACGCAAGTACAAATTGGCTTAGCTCACTTGTCGTTGGAAAGTGAGTGCCACACAATCGCTAGTCCGCTGCCTTCAAAAGTGCGATTGTGTCACAGGTCTCATAGCTTTGAGTTATCTTGAGTTCGAGCCTCTCTCACCCCACCATACTGTTTTTATTCAAACGAGATAAAACATGTTCTGTAAAACCTAGCTAAAGATCATTTTGTGTCGGTGTTTGGCCTCGAAATCAAAACCTTGTTATTGAGGGGTGGTGGCGCAGTTGGCTAGCACATAGGTCTCATAAATTCGAGTTATCCTGAGGTCGACAGTTTGGGCCTCTCTCACCCGAGCTTTTTTTTTTTTTAGTTTTTATTTCAAACCGGATAAAACATGTCTTGTAAAACCTAGAAACAGATCATTTTGTGTCGGTTTGGCCTCAGAATCAAAACGTTGGTGTCAAGGGGTGGGCGTAGTTGGCTAGCGTGTAGGTCTCATAGCTTCGAGTTATCCTTAGTTCGAGCTTCTCTCACCCCACCATATTTTTTTTTTTTATTCAAACCAGATAAAACATGTCTTGTAAAACCTAGCAAAAGATCATTTTGTGTCTGTTTGGCCTTTGAATCAAAATGTTGTTATCGAGGGGTGGTGGTGTAGTTGGCTAGTGCATAAGTCTCATAGCATCGAGTTATCCTAAGGTCGAGAGTTTGAGCTACCTCTCACCCCACCATAGTTTTATTTATTCATTCAAGATTAAACATGAACTATAAAGCCTAGCAAAAGATCTTTTTGTGTCGGTTTGGTCTATGAATAAAAACCTTGTTATCAAGGAGTGGTGGTGCAGTTGGCTAATGCAAAGGTCTCATAGCTTTGAGTTATCCTAGGTTCGAGAGTTCAAGCCTATCTCACCCCACCATATTTTTTTTTATTCTAACGAGATAAAACATGTCCGGTAAAACCTAGCAAAAAATCATTTTGTGTCGGTTTGGTCTCTAAATTCAATCTTGTTATTGAGGGGTGGCGGTGCAGTTGGCTAGTGCGTAGGTCTCATAGCTTCGAGTTATCCTGAGTTCGAGCCTCTCACCCCACCATAATTTTTTTATTCAAACAAGATAAAACATGTCCAGTAAAACCTAGCAAAAGATCATTTTGTGTCGGTTTGGCCTTGGAATCAAAATGTTGATATCGAGGGGTGGTGGCGTAGTTGGCTAGTGCGTAGGTCTCATAGCTTTGAGTTATCTTGAGTTCGAGCCTCTCTCACCCCACCATAGTTTTTTTTTATTCAAATGAGGTAAAACATGTCTTGTAAAACCTAGCAAAAGATAATTTTGTGTCGGTTTGGCCTCGTAATCAAAACCTTGTTATCTAGGGATGGTGGCACAATTGCCTATCGTGTAGGTCTCATAGTTTCGAGTTATCCTAAGGTCGAGAGATTGAGCCTTTCATACCCCACCATATTTTTCTTTATTCAAACAAGATAAAACATATCCTGTAAAACCTAGCAAAAGATCAATTTGTGTTGGTTTGACCTCTGCATCAAAACCTTGTTATCGAGGGGTGGTGGTGCAGTTGGGCTAGCACGTAGGTCTTATAGCTTCTAGTTATCCTAAGGTCGAGAGTTTGAGCTTCTCTCACCCCACCGTATTTTTTTTTATTCTAACAAAATAAAACATGTTCTGTAAAACCTAGCAAAAGTTCATTTTGTGTCGGTTTGGCCTCTGAATCAAAACCTTGTTATTGAGGGATGTGGCGCAGTTGGCTAGAGTGTAGGTCTCATAGCTTCGAGTTATCCTGAGGTTAGAGTTTGAGCCTCTCTCACCCCCACCATATTTTTTTTTATTCAAACAAAGATAAAACATGGCCTATAAAACCTAGCAAAATATCATTTTGTGGTTGTTTGGACTCGGAATCAAAACCTTGTTATCGTAGGTCTCATAGCTTCGAGTTATCCTGAGATCCTCTCTCACCCCACGTTGTTTTTTTTTTTATTCATACAAGAGAAAACATGTCCTATAAAACCTAGCAAAAGATCATTTTGTGTCGGTTTGGTCTCGAAATCAGAATCTTGTTATCAAGGGGTGGTTGCGCAGTTGGCTAGCGTGTAGGTCTCATAGCTTCGAGTTATCTTGAGGTCGAGAGTTTGAGCCTCTCTCACCCCACCATCTTTTTTTTATGCTAACAATATAAATCATGTCCTATAGAGCTTAGCAAAAGATCTTTTTATTTCGGTTTGGCTTTTGAGTTTAAATCTTCTTATCTAGGGGGTGGTAGTGCAGTTGGCTAGCGCATAGGTCTTATAGCTTTGAGTTAATCCTAAGGTCAAGAGTACGAGCCTCTCACACCCCACCATATTTTTTTTTTCTAACAATGAATTACGAGAGGGGAAAGACATATGCCTCTACTCGGTTTGTAGCTCTTCGATTTCTAGTTTTCCTCTTTAAGTAGTCAATGCCTCATCTCTATGTTCGATTCGTAGGTCAGAACTAAGAGAGGGTTGAGACATGTGCCTCAGCTTCGTTTGTACTCTTCTGACTTCCAATTTTCCTCATTAGGTGATGATCAGTTCTCCATCTCCATTTCGGTTTGTAGGCCAACTTATCCTAGGTTGACCCAAACCCGTGGTCCTTGAGGCTGTTTTACCCCTAACAAACGCGTGCATGCATATAAATGAAAATACCAGAGTTTGAGCATGAGACTATAAATTATTTTTAGTCTTTCTTAGCCATGCATACATATAGCCTCTAGATTTCTCTCATTAAATGTCGTTTTAGTTCACTCATGCAGCTCCTCTATTCGAGCATCACATGCCAACTAACATCTACTTTAGTTCGTCTTCAAACTACATTGTACGAGGAGAGATTCCCTTATGATACCATTTGTAACATCGAAGGCCCAAGAATCATACCAGAATTTGAAATTGATATTGAATACCTTGTAGCCTCAACACTCACTTCATGCAATCTGATCTCATCTTAAGATGCTGAGTCACAACGACTTGACATGCTATAAACTATGCTATCATCACAACGAGCATCTAGACGTGCTCAACCATATAAAAACACAATAATTTTAGAATAAGTTAAAATAAACCATATATATACAACATAAATAAGGCAGGAAACATGCTTAGCACACAAGCAAACAAACTCGACATATAGAATTATACTTATAAAACATTCTAAAGCACGCCTAAACAACTCAAGTCAAAACTTTATTAAAAGTCTCAAATAGTGCTTGTAACGAATATTCTTACTCTAAAGAACCTTAAACCGTAATCCAAACACTTCAAGTCATGTCTCAGCTACGAAAAGAGAGTAAAGTTCTGCGGAAAACTTACCGACACAAACTTAAACCGAATTAAATGTAAATAAATAAAAAAAATGGTCACTAACCAAATCTTAATTTAATTTTTTAAAATTGATTTACTATATAAAAAAAGAATTATATCATAAAAGAACATGGGGAATCATTTTAAAAGACAAACAACAAGACAAATTGCAGCAAATGTTCTTTGTATTCTACTATATCTCACAAACTTCCATATATTTTTTTAAAATTATTATATAAAAAATATTAATAATAAATAGGAAGAATATGATATTAAGAGAAAATACTTTTCACAAAAATACAACAAAAAGACAAACTGAAAGCTACTCTGTCACACTATATCCTCAATGCATTATTCACTTTTTTATTTTCTTAAATGAATTATAAGTGAAAATTAATTTAATATTTTATTTCACAAAATATTTAGTTTATTTGCATTATCTTAAAATGTCTTTATTTTAAAATTGGGATAAGATTCTAAAGAATTTTTTTAAAAGGAGAAAATAAATAAAGTATTATGAATAAAATATAATATCGTTATCAAATGAGCTATAATTAAGTAATCAGTAGGCTTCAAAGTATCAAAATAGATCGTTTTAATGGTTTATTTTGTTTTATTATTTTTTTATTTTGAAATTTATATTTAATTTGGTATTTGGGTATGTCAATTATTTTTTTAAAATATATTTTTTTTTACCAAGGCACGTCGTATTTGATTAACCTAATTTCTGTGAAGAAAATTGTCAACTAATTTAACTGATTTATCTATATAGTTAGTCAGAAAGCTAGTAATCTTGATACCTGTTCAAATTTCGATCGATAAAGATTCTACTCAACATACAAGAATCTGAAAGTATGATCGTTTTGAGGGTTTGAAAAACCAAATTTTAATATCTTTTTCTCTTTTTTAGTATGCTGCTCCACGAGCAAGGAGCAAGAGAGCATTAATCAAATCTTCGACACGTGGTATCTTATCTTCATATTTATAAGCTACAACTCACTTGACGTTTTCAATTTTTTTATTATAGAAAGTTAAGTTGGATTGAATTCTTGGAAAATCGAAAATTCTATTCAGTTTGCTAGTTGATATTTTTTTAGTCGGGTCAATTTGACCAATTGAAAAATAGGGTTATAACCCAATCTGACTCTACTTTACTTTTTAAAAGATTAAGAATTTTTAAGGTTAATGATGAGTTATGACATGTAAATATTAGATATTTGAACTTTATGAAGTTTTAGTTATTATTGTAATATGTATAAATAATTAAAAAAACAACCTAACAACTCAACCCAACTCAAATCGAAAATCGAGGGTTGGATTGGCTTGAGTTGAGTCGAGTTGATTGTGAACTCTATTAGGTTACTCGGGTCACCAACCCAAAATTTTAGATTGGTCTCAAAGATTTTTCCAACTCAACCCAACTCTTGTATGCCCTAATTGAGACAGTAGTAGATCAAAATTATACAAATAGTAGACGTCATGATAAATAACGAGCCCCTTTTTTTTAATCAACAAAAAGTAGTCCATTAACTCTCGGGATATTAATCATACGTTGAAAGGTATCGAGAACATTTTTAGACCTATAACATAGAAATTTATCTAGAAATTACTCATTAGTATATTCATTGGTACTTACATTATTTGATGTAACAATTATTTGGTTAGTTATTATCTAAAAAAAAACCTTAAAAAACGACCAAACTGAAAACGACAAGAAAACATTAGGATTAGACCATAGACATATAAATGGTCAGATTTTAGCTATAAGAATTCACTAAAATCCAAAAATATATTTAAAAAATAATAATAATAAAACAAAAACAAAAACAAAATAAAAAACAAAAACAACTGGCTTTTCCCCCAACTTTTCCCTTGTCTTCCAATTGAAAGAAAAGGTAAAAGGATCTCTCTTCTCTCGAGTTTCCTCACCACACAACTCTTTTGAACACAGCAAGAGCCACTAAGCCTAAAGAACACGACGACGTCGACGACAAGGAGGACGAGGACGAGAACGAGGTTATAAATTTGATGGAATTATTAGGTTTGTTGAAGCCAAGCTGAAAAAACATCAAGGGTTTTCATGTCAGCTCTGTAATGGTTGAGAGTGAAATGGTGGAGCATAGACCATGTAAAGTCTGGATAGATTCGTGGGTTCTGAGTGTCCACCAGCTCCCTTGGTGGCCTTACCACTTTATCATTTCTTGGACACAAAAAGAATGCTAAAGATTTCCTTGTTGTCTCGTTGTTCACCACCGCTCTATGCAAGCAACTCTTGTATCTCCCATTTGATAGTGCCTTTTTTACCATCCAAAACAAACCCATCATTAGCCATATCATATTATAATTATTATAACTCCAAATTCATGTATTCCACACGTTTTAAACCCTAAACTACTCTTCCCGTTTCTTTTGACGATATACAGGTTTATGGGTATCAAAGAATACGCCTAAAACCCTAACCTACCCTTCTCGTGTCTTTTATCGATATATAGGTTCATGGGTATCAAAGAATATGTCTAAAACCCTAAACTACCATTCCCGTGTCTTTTAACGATATATAGGTTCATGGATACCAAAGAATACGTCTAAAATCCTAAGCTACCCTTCCCATGTCTTTTATCGATATATAGTTTCATGGGTATTAAAGAATACGTCTAAAACCCTAAGCTACCTTTACCGTGTCTTCTATTGATATATAGGTTCATGGGTATCAAAAAATACGTCTTTCTGGCATACATCTTAGTAATTTCTTTATTCCTCATTCCTACATAAAAAATGTTAGGAATTACGATTCTTCACAATATTATGATATTGTCCAAGATGTCAAACTTTTATTAGTGGTCAAAGTTAAATTGATTCTTTTCCGAGGTCAAAATAAGAAAAGAAGGTGTTATTTTTTTTAAAAGAAAAAGGTGAGGATTTTAATGGGTTTTGTTTGATTACCATGAAAGTGTCACCAATATTGATAACAAAAGCATCAAAGTTAGGGGCAATGAGACGCCATTGGTTGTCTACAAAAACTTGTAAGCCACCGACTTGGTCTTGGTGAAGAATGGTCAAAGACGTTGGGTCACAGTGAGGGCCAGTGCCTAAGGTCAGATGGGGCTTCTGGCATGGCGGATAGAAGTTCAGTCTCATTATTGAATCATTGTCTTTGAAGAAGTTCTTGAAGTAATCTCCTTTTACTCCAAGGCTCTTCCCTAACAGCTCCATTATCCCCAACGATAGCCCACTCATTGCTTCACAATACTCCTGATATACCCTACTGTTCCACCCAATCAAACAATGAGTCAATAACCTCTCCACCATAACTTTAACCGTATTGTTTCAACTTAAAAAAAAAAAAAAATCAAATTACGACACCCATTTTAGATAGCTTAACTGGTTAAAACGTATTGACCCAGATACTTCAAAATCATGAATGATAACTTGTTTCAACCAAAAAAGGATCAAATTACGGGACCCACTTGAGATAGATGGTTAGGTAGCTCAACTAAATAACCATTATTGACCTCAACTAAATAAGCATTATTGACCGAGACACTTCAAAATCATTTTAAACATGAATGATAACTTTAACCCTATCGTTTCAACTAAAAAGGATCAAATTACGAGACCCACGTGAGATAGATGATTAGGCAGCTCAATTGGTTAAGACATACCGGTCACGACATTTGGCACTTTAACCATTTTGTTTAAACTAAAAAAGATCAACATACGAGACCATGTGAGAAAGATGGTTAGGCAGCTCAACTGATTAAGACATATGGACCCAGACATTTCAAAATCATTCCAGAACGATATCGTTTGAGCTAGAAAAAGGAAAAGGAAGTACCTGAAGTCGACGAATTGGTCACCGAGCTTGGCGGAAAGGTAATCAAGAACAAGATTAGGGAAGGAATCATCAGCAGAGAATCGAAAGGAAAGAGTCTCTTTCCAAGGCAATTTGGAAGAGAATCGACCAGTGAAGCTGCTAGCATACCCACAGTGCTCACCGGCTTGCCTCTGAGCCCTTTGTTTCTCACAAAGCGGCAATCCAAAGAACTCGTTCATGTACTTATGAGCTTCCGCAATCAACTTGGAGTCAACCCCATGATTCACCACAAGAAAAAAACCATGTTTTTGACATGCCTCGCCGACAAGTCGGATGGCCTCCCCCACCGAATCTTTGTCCCCGGACACAAACCCCGACAAGTCGATCAATGGGACTTCCAGCTCCGGGCACTCACCAATCGGCTTATCCTCGTCCGGCCATATGAACTGCTTCGGAATCTTCTGTTCATGCCGGAGAACCGCCGCGTCGAACACAAGTGGAACGCCGTCGTTTTCCCCCTCCGCCATTGATGGGCTGTACTACATGCAAGGTTGAGGGATTTTACAAGAGAAGGGCTTTATAATGTTGAATTTGGCAAATGGGTGTTCACCCATTTGGAAATTTTCAATTTTTTTTTAAAATAATATTGACAGGAAAGCGATTCCCAATGGAAATTTGGCAGTTCATGGCGATGAAGGGAAATCTAATGTCCCCTCTCCCTCCATATCAATTCAAAATTTTCTTTTTTTTTATTTTTAATTTTATGTACCTTTTGATTTATTATGTCGGATTGTTATTATTGAATAAAGGTAACTATTTTTATGTGTATTCATTACATCCCCCACTAAACCTCATCAATCAAACCTTAACTCCACTTACAAAGCCTTGGTTTTGAACCAAAGCAACTTTTTGGCACCCAAACAAACATTTCACTTTGATCTTATTCTTAGATTTTTCGACGATTTAATTGTAATAACTAAGTCCACTGTTAGTAGATATTGTCTGCTTTGATCCAATTGATGTGGGATCTCACAATTCACTCTTCTTGAGGACGGAGAATGTTTGCTTAATCCATCACACCTAAATGACGTGAAAATTATCTATTTATAATCAAATAAATTACAAGAATATGAAAAGAGTAATAAATGGAAATAACAATAAAAAAAGATACTTATAGTAAGAAGGAAAATATCTAGATATCCTTAACAAGGGTCTATCGTCCTCGTTGACATACCGCCTAGTATCTAGCTCTGATACCATTTGTAACAATCCAAGTCCACTGCTAGCAGTCATTGTCTTCTTTGGCCTGTTACGTATCACCATCAACCACACAGTTTAGAACATGTCTATTAGAGAGAGGTTTTCACACTCTTATAAGGAATACGACTCCAATAGCTTATTATTGGTATTCCCTTGAATTTTTAGATTCTAGCTCCTATGGCTTATTATTTATTTATTTTCTTTTACATACAACATGGTATAGATAATGTTCTTGAATAAAAGAGTAGATGTTTGATCACCTAACTATGTTATGAGTAAATATAACTAACTCGATTGTGTTCAAAAATTGTAAAGGTCTATGAAGTCTAAAGACAGATGAATAAATCGAGACAAAGATAATGGATGGTGGGTAAGATGTTAAGGTTAATTGGGTTCGTTCATAAAGATTGAGCCAAGACAATGTATAGGACACGACCAGCTTCCCGAGAGATTGACCGGAGGCCAAATAGCCGACCCACGAGAGGGTCAAGGCCTTACATGGCGACCCTATGAAGGGACAGCGAAGGCCTTTCCAATTTAGGCACGTGAGCTATTCGCTTGGATGGGTAAGTCAAAGACGAATCGTTCGTGTTTTCAGAGAATTAGATGAGACTAATAGTTTCAAAAAATTAACCGTCATGTATATTTTTTAATATATTTTTAAAATATGGGATTAATATATTTATGAATAAATTTTTGTAGATCTTAAGGTAATTGTAAACCCAACCCACGATCAAATTACCTTTGTTTCCAAACTTTCACCTGATATGCTCAAGCTGAGAAAGAAGGGAAAAAAGAGAGGGCGGAGGAAGAATCAAAAAAGAGAAAGGTATGCTACTAAGAAATAGTTGCTTTTTTCCATCTCTACTCGACTAAGCTAAGGAAACTACTGAAAATGGCACGAAATCATAGACGGAAGTGAGGCAATCTTTCCAGATTCGCTCCGCTCGACCTTTTGATGTCGAAAGCCAATTAGTGTTGGATCATTGAAAGCTTAGTTTATACATGAACACTATTTTCTAAAAATAGAAAGACAAACAAAAAGGAGGGTTTTAATAAATCAGCTTACTTTATAAATATAGAAAATTAATACCAAAAGGGCCATCCAACCATATGCCTAAACAACTTATGTTGTCAGTCCACTTGTGACCACAATGTCGTTTAAACACCCTCCCTTGAGTATCAATTTGAACTCTTACTCGAACAATTATGACTAATCGCTCTCATGAAGATCGAGCTAAAAAGGTATCTAAGAGAGGAAAACTCGAAAATTTTGCTGGTTTTCTTAGAAACTTACTCCAAGAATTACACGTTTTCCTCCCTTAGTTCTCTATTGATTTTATGTCTTTACTTATAAAAACATGTCATAATTTACAACTTGATGTATTATTGTTTGTCAACTTGTTTAAATATATATCTTCAACCAAAATGACAGAGAAAAGATTGGAAATTCTCCAACCCTATGTGCGATTGAACTCAAATAAAGAAAAACTAATGAGAGATGCTCATGGTTAGAGGTGTTCACATGATCCAAGAAAGTTGACCAACTTGGACTACCCAATTCAAATCATAAAAATTTGGTTAGATTAGATTTTTTTTTCCATTTGTATTAGGTTGAATTTTTGAAAAACGGACAAATTCATTTGATTAGCAGGTTGACATTTTTTTGGTCGGTCAACCCGACCAATCCTACCCTAAATAGAATTACAACTCAAACTTACCCTAATTTTTTTTTTTAAAAAAAAAGAACAATACAACCCAACCCTACTCGATAATAGAGGATTGGTTAGGGTCATAAACTCTATTCGGGTTGTTCGGGTTACTAACCCAACCAACTCGATATTTCAGATTGATTCTAAAGATTTTTCCAACTCAATCCACCCAATCCTACCAAAAAATAGAGGGTTGGATTGGGTTGTGAACTCTATTTGAGTTTCTCAGGTTATTTACCCAACTAACTCGAAATTTCATATTGATCCAAAAGATTTTCCTAACTCAACCCACCCAACCCTACCAAAAAATAGAGGGTTGGACTGGTCGTGAACTCTATTCGGGTTGCTTAGGTTACTAACTCAACTAACTCGAAATTTCAGATGGATCCAAAAGATTTTCACAACTCAACCCACATGATATGATAAGGAACCACTACAAGAGAAGTAAGATTCGGATTACCTTGTTGATCGAATATCTCAAGGCAAGAACATTGTTTGAGATTCGAATCACTCCACAAGCAAGATTGATCATGCCTAGCTTGAATGATTCTTGATCAAATATCTCAAACAATTGTTTGAGATTCGAATCACTCCACAAGCAAGATTGATCATGTCTAGCTTGAATGATTCTACATGCGACCTAAACTACATAGAATTGCAAAGAAACTTAGTCATTGGCTAAAGAAATCACAAAGGCTTCTTTTACTATATTTTTCAAGTCTCTTACACATACAACATACATGGCTTTATATAGCCTCAAAATGATATTAAAGGCATTTGAAGAGTTGTAACATTCATACTTAATGGTCATAATTAACCATTATGTAATTGTAACCTATAGTGAATAAAGTCTTAAAATACATAAATCAAATACAATAACACTAAATTGTAATCTACCCAAAATTTATAACATAAAACTTTATTATTCTTCAATGTAGCATGAATTGAAATATCTTTTGATAATTTCCACCATATTTTATTCATATCTTCACTGAAGCATCTTGTATGATTGATGTCTCTTGGTTCATATCACCACCCAACCCTACAAAAAAAATAGAGGGTTGAACTGGTCGTGAACTCTATTCGGGTTGCTTGGGTTACTAACCCAACTAACTCGAAATTTCAGATTGATCCAAAAGGTTTTCCCAACTCAACCCACCCAACCCTACCAAAAAAAATAGAGGGTTGGACTGGTCGTGAACTCTATTCGGGTTGCTTGGGTTACTAACCCAACTAACTCGAAATTTCAGATTGATCCAAAAGATTTTCCCAACTCAACCCACCCAACCCTACCAAAAAAAATAGAAGGTTGGACTGGTCGTGAACTCTATTCGGGTTGCTTGGGTTACTAACCCAACTAACTCGAAATTTCAGATTGATCCAAAAGATTTTCCCAACTCAACCCACCCAACCCTACCAAAAAAAAAATAGAGGGTTGGACTGGTCGTGAACTCTATTCGGGTTGCTCGGGTTACTAACCCAACTAACTCGAAATTTCAGATTGATCCAAAAGATTTTCCCAACTCAACCCACCCAACCCTACCAAAAAAAATAGAGTCTTGGATTGGTCGTAAGCTCTATTCGGGTTGTTCGGATTACTAACCCAACTAACTCGAAATTTCAGATTGATCCAAAAGATTTTCCCAACTCAACCCACCCAACCCTACCAAAAAACAGAGGGTTGGACTGGTTGTGAACTCTATTCGGGTTGCTCGGGTTACTTACCCAACTAACTCGAAATTTCATATTGATCCAAAATATTTTCCAACTCAACCCACCCAACCCTACCAAAAAATAGAGGGTTGGACTAGGTCATGAACTCTATTCGGGTTGCTCAGGTTACTAACCCAACCAACTCGAAATTTCAAATTGATCCAAAAGATTTTCTCAACTCAATCCGTCCAACCCTACCAAAAAATAGAGGATTGGATTGGGTCGTGAACTCTATCCAGGTTGCTTGGGTTACTAACCCAACTAACTCGAAATTTCATATTGATCCAAAAGATTTTCCCCACTCAACCCATATACGCTCCTATCCACCGTTCAATTGTTGAACTCTTTTAGCTTATTTGTGAAGCTCGAAATCTCTTTTAAGATTGTGATGTCGACCTAATCATAAAAGATTGAACTTTTATTATCTTTCTCGGTCTACTTAAAAGAAAGGTAAAAAAAAAAAAACATAGAAAAAGACAGAGAAATATATAGGTTTAAAATGAATGAGATCTTTCCTAAGGGAAGAAAATCTGCAGAAGCCTTTGAATGCGTTTGAATGATATGAAAAACGATAATGAAAGCAAGGTACTGTCTATAGTGAACGTTGTCGGTTCTCCCATTCTCCAACTACAAACCCTCAATAAAACAACGCCATTCCATCCTACGTTGTCTGTGTGAACATCATTAAAAACAACAAAATTTTAGCTTACCAAAAACATTGTACTATGTCTGTCTCTCAATCCTTTCAACTTCTATCATATATTATCTCACCAAATATCTATACCCAATAGGAAGCTGTTTGAATAATAATCGTACAAGATCATTGTTTTTTTCTTTCGTCGATCTTGATGAAATCGCCAAAAGTCGACAAGATTTTTCTACTCAACATCGGTGGTA